AACTAGTTATCACTTTTGTCGAACCTATCTATTCCGCATATTTTTAGCACTACAAGACCAAACTTTCTCCAGACAATATCAAGGAGGTAGGTAATTTTTATAACGGTTTCTAACATTTATTGAAAATTAAGAATTTTTAAGTTTTCTACAGTTTTCTATGCCAGAAATTAGAAAATCAACAATCAAAAATCGTCACCCTATGGACGCTATTCCATTTCTTAGCCAAAAGTCATAGATGGCTGATTGCGATTGGATGGATCAGTTCCTCCTCTTCTATTTATTTCTTCGAAATTTCCTCTACAATTTTTCCATTCCTCTCTATTTCTCGCTCTCTGTTTGACCTCTCTCTCACGCAAGCGAATTATTTCATGATCTCTGTGATAGTTCTTCTCCAGCTATTATCCGGCCCTTTTCTTCTTCTTTTTCCGTTTGGTTGGTATTCAGCCTATCTGGTTATATTATTTCGGTAGTGTACATTCAATCCATTTACATTTCCTTATTTTAATCGTGACTGTTAGTTTCTCATGTTTTGTTCTTCTCCAAAGTTCTGTGTTTATTGTTTTTTAATGCCAGTATATTTTAAGATTTTTTTCAATGATTTATTATAAAGCTTTGAAATTTTTTACTATGGTCTGTTTTTTAACCAGGAGGAGTAATTCAAATTTTCTGCGCCGTAATGCTTGTTTGCAATTGGTCCAACCGCGGCAATCCACGCAGGCAAGTTTACTTCACTAAATTATGACATATTGACACTACTGACATTTGTGAAATTTATTTATTGTTATTATTTTCCTCTAATATATAAATCGATTTCTGACTCTTTAAGTTTTAAGTTGTTTGTAATAACTTGGACTTGGTGATATGCGAATGCGAATAGTATTTAATGTGATATTTTTCTAGATGATATTTATACTAAATATAGTTTAAAGTGTTTCTAAATTTATAAATGTGTGTTATTTATATCTAATTATCATAAGAAAAACGGCAACTATCTTTTAAATTTAGTGTATACTTGTTAAGAAGCATTTCCATTTTGTTTTCATCACTGCAAAATTATGCAAGAATGTAACATAATAGATTGGATTTGTTGATTATCTCACAGAAATCCAGTATTTTTTAGTAAATTTTATTTGTTGATAACAAATGGGACAAACTCGCTGTCATAATTAAACAAGAATCCAGCATTAAAGAAATTATAAGTACACACTTACTTATACAAAGTATCTGGTAAGAAAAATAAACTAGATTCAAGAAATTGATCATACCAGAATAAGAATATGGTCTACTATTAAAAGACAAATTTCTGAGAAAAACCATACTTAGATCTGTAACATTATTGACTCTCCCGATCAAAATATTCTCAAAATTATAATTAAATACCATAGACTTAAGAGATCTATAAAACTGGATCACTCGATATTTAAATATATATACATGGGACCAAATGTGAAAAACGTCCTTTTTTGCAAAGGAATATTGTAATATATATTGGAAGTGAATTGAAAAAAAGTATTTTCCGCAAATCGCCAGGAAATTTTGACATTCTTGTCAAAATTTCTTGAAGAAAAAGTCAGGACTTCCTTACTGTAAGGAAATGTCATTTCCTTACTGCAAGGAAATGATATTTCCGTACAGTTGTTAGTGTTCTACATAAATGATAGAAAACACAAATCTTAGATTTCTTTGCCCTATAACCTTGAGCTTGCCGTTTCAATAAAGAACGAAGTTTTGAGTATGTAGATATATCTACATTGTGTTTAAGTGCAAGGGTTGACTTCAGCATTGAATAATTGGCCCATAATGTTGAAGATTTCATCTTTAAACAAAGGTCTATGAAGTATGCCATTACAACATTTTCTGAGAAAGAACTCGTATTTTTACTCATGCGATAATCCATAAAACGTCTGTATGCATTTTCGTACTTTCTCTTGATTTCTTTGGCAATAATTCTAATGAAGCAGTATTCACTGCCTCAACCAGCTCTGGAGGAGTCCCAGGAATGGAAATTTCATCATCACTTATCATTTTACTTTCGAGAACACCAGCAATTAAATTTATAAGCGTCAAATTTGACAATTCAACCTCAATACGTTTCCATAGTAACCCAAGAAATTTTATTTATTTGGGAATAAAATTATCGCGTTTTTTTTAAATCAATCAATATCTGTCGAATTTTAAACGATTTGCGGAAAAATAGTATGTTTACCTCGTAGGAAAAGCCACATTCCTGGACTCTGTGTTGCTAAGTCTCAGCTTGCGCCTCGACTTAGCAATCTTCACAGTCGTCCAGGAATGTTAAGCTTTTCCTACCCGGTAAACAATGTACTATTATTATTCAAACATAAATAAACAAAGTTAGGTTAAAATTGACGTGTGAGGTTGTCCAATATTGATTACTCGATTACCGCAAGGCCGAAATAATCAACAAAAAAAAGAAGATGTATTTGGTGATTTTTCTAGTAACTTTCTTGAGTGTGAATTTGTCTTTTTGGTTTACTCCTTACTCTTTACTCCTTACTACAACCATGTAAGACGAATGGATGAGAATAGACTCCCAAAAATTGCCCTAGAAAACAATCCGCCTGGTTCAAGACCCCCCGGAAGACCACCTAAAAGATGGAGGGATAGTTGGCAATCTACCTCCCAAGAAATTAACCAGAGGCAGCTTCAGAATTAAACAGATCGAAAGATCTACAAAAAGTAGAAGAAGAAGAAGAAGGTTTACTCCACCTGGTTAGAAAACAGAGTATAGTTGTTTCTTCATATATATTTTTGCATATCGCGTGTATTCTAGATTTTATATAGGGAGTTTTATGCATGTTGTGCCTTTACTATTCTTTTTTCTACATCTGATCTACTACCTCCTCTTTTTTCCAAGATTGATCTCAGATATGTAAAGTTATCTAGTTCCCCTATTTGTTTTCATTTATTTCAATTTTAGTTTCTTGTTTGTCATTACATTGGAGTATTTTGCAAGCTTGTCGATCTTCTTCTGCATATGATTACTATGTTCGGTTAGGAGACAAATGTCGTCTGCGAACTCCGTCCTCCAACTGGTTGTGCAAGTTACACCTAATACCTGTTTTTTTATCGCTTTAACCACCGTTTGGAGTTATACCGCTCATATGAGCGCCATTACCTCTTGGTCATCTATTTTATTATAGTTGTAGATATGAAAACTGCTTATCTGGGTCATATATTTCGAAATTTCAAGTACCAGCTCTTAAAGCTTATTACGAAAGGGAAGATAGAAGGAAAACGAGGCATCGAAAGAAAGAAATACTCATGGCTTAAATATATAAGGGATTGGACAAACCTCGATGCTCATGCACTTTTTAGAGCCACACAAGATCGAGAGGTGTATGCCAGAATTGTCGCCAACACCCACTAATTTGATAGGGCACCATAAGAAGAAGAAGTAGATATGCCAAGAAATCGTCAAAGGACCACCGCTAAGGTGACTTGAACCGAAGAAGATCTTTAATCTGCTATAGCTACAAATAAAGGAAGTTTGTTCAAAAAAAAGCGTCCAAACAACTATAACATACCATTTACCTAATTAAGAGATCTACTGAAAATGAAAACATGAGCAACCCAAGACTAGATCGCAAGCGCGTTTTTACCCAAGAGCAAGAAACTGACATTGCTGAACAAGTTAAGTTGCTGGGTTTTTATATTATGGTCTTAATGTCGCAGATTTGCGTAAACTTGTATATAAATAAATTACTATTAAACTGGGAATAAGCCACAATTAAAGATAAAAATACGTTTATTGACGTTTCAATTTCAATTTGTATATAAATAAGCTGAACAAACAATATCAAACATAATTTTGATCAAATCAATAAAACAGCTGGATTGGATTGGGTACATCCCTTTATGAGACGTCTTTACTTTTGAAGCTGAAGCGACAAGCTTAAACAGAATTTATGCTTTCAACGAAGAACAAATAACCGATTTCTATGACAAACTTTGCGACTTAATGGAAAAACATAAGTTTGTTCCAAAGAACATTTACAATGCTGACTAAACTGGTATTACCAGGGTGACAGATCCAGGAAAAGAAAGAAAGAAAGAAAGAAGAAAGAAAAAAGACAAAGCAGAAGAATTTTTTTGAGCCGTTCTTTATAAGTTCAGGTGAGATGCCTCCAGGTCCCGGTGCTTTCTTATTTTTGATTGCTTCTATGGCATTGTGTTCTATGTTCTTATTTCTCTATCTGTTATTTCTATTTCTTGTTGTGGGGATCTGCTTCGTCTTCGCTTGTTTTCTTTTCCAATGAATTGTGGTCTTTGTTTTGTTAATAGTCCCTTGTAATAGCCCTTCCATTCTTTATCCTGTATATTTCCCAATTAAATTTTTTCTTTTGAGTTTTGTTTCAATCCTCTCGGTACTTCATCGTTGTTTGTAGTCAGCCATTTTCTCTGTAGTTGTTTTTTCTCTTCAATTTTTTTTTGTAGGTTCATTTATTTCATAATACCTAGTGCTGTTTATTTGGTATATGGTCTTTCTCTCCATGTCCATTTTTGCTGTCAGTAGTTTATGATCAGTTCCACATTCTGCTTCTCTTCTGACCTTCTCTCTATCTGTCTAAATTTTAAGATCTATTAAAAAATATTAAATACCAATTTATTATATAATCTACTTTTCTTTGAAACGGTATATTTATATAACATTTTATCTAAGCTTTAATGGACGAAGATAATATAATAGCTAATCATATCAAAATTATTTTTATGCAAGTAAAAATAAATCAAAAATGTTTATATTGAAATCAGACCTTACTGTTATGATAATAAATATCAGCTTTGGGTTTATTCCAAATAAATGTTTTTTAGAATTGCAACTTATAATTAATTAATTATATTAAGAAAAAATGGGCAAAGATAATCCCACGTTTTTTAATTATTATTGAACTCCGCCTATGATTACAACAACGAATGATAAACTGCAAGTATATATAGGTATGAAAGATTAGTAAACACTACTTTGATAGTGTGTCCTTTCTAAAGTGGAACAGTATTTTAAAAATGGCACCGAAAATTGAAAAGTTGTGCGGAAACTTCAAGCTCGCAGAAGCTCCCCATTGGGACGAGAGTTCCCAAATGTTGTATTTTGTGGATATCAACGGATACAGCATCAATAGATACGATCCAAAGACGAAGAAACACACTAGTGCGCATGTAGGTAAGTCAAAAAAATCATACTTTTTTTTCATTATTACTATGAAATTGCTTTATTTCTAATTTCCTTCAATTTTTTCGTGTTTTCGGATCCAATAGTGTTAAAATTAAAAAAAAAATAATGCACTGAGTCCTGATATACAAATAGAACTTTGTCGCATACTCCCGAATTAAAGTCAAAACGAATGGAAGTTTAAATTGATTTTAGATTTTTGGAGTGAAACTTCTATCAAGGCGTTGTTATACTTTGTTCTCTACAGTAAAATGCTCAGGCGAGCGTCAGGGAACTAATGCTACGAGAAGGCATCAAGGGTAGCGCCACGAGAAGGCGTCACAAGCAGCGTCACGAAATAGTGGTTCTTCACATCGATTCACTACACTCATTCAATTCGTTTCTAGTCACTAGTACTACTACTTGTCGGTTTATAACGATTCCTGGCCGTTTTCCGACTTCCAATCGCCACTTAGTCCGGTTGTTCCATAGGTGTTCTTCTATAGCCCTCTCTCTCAGTTCTTTGTTTATTCCTTCGCTTCAATTTTTTCTCGGTCTACCTCGTTTTCTCTTTCCTTCTGGTTGACATTTTAATATTTCTTTTGGTATTCATTGTTCATCCATTCTTTGTATGTATCCGAACCAGATAAGTTGTTTTGTTGTTAGGTCATCTATGATTGTTCGTTTGATTCCCATTATTTCCCTAATGCGTTCGTTGGTAATCCTTTCTCTTTTAGATCTTTCTGCGACTCTTCTCCAAAAAACTATTTCCGTCGCTTTCACCGTTGCCAGTGTTCTTTCATTCAATGACAATACCTCACAGCTGTATAAAGTGATACTTTTTACTATAGTCTCATATATCCTCTTTTTATTTTCTGTGCTGATGGATTTGGTCCCATAAAATGCTGGTTAACACTGTGATGGCTTTTCTTCCTGACGTATTTCTCTCTCTTATGGCTTTGTCTAATGTTCCATTTTGTGAAATAGTGATACCTAGATATTTGCAGTCACAGCACAGCTTTATCGTAGTGTTATCGTCTAATATGTGATTTTTTGTTCTACTCCAATGCACAGGTATTCGGTTTTCTTTTTATTTACTTCTAGACCCCAGATATCATACTCTTTAATTAATTTTCGTGCCATGTAGTTTAAATCGTCATAATCTTGAGCCAATATTACTTGATCATCCGCAAAGTTGAGCGTATATACCATAGGGGAGAAGAGGGAGACTTGATCCCACCGTTACATTTTTTCAGATAGCTCCTTTTACAACCAATCTAGAACCTTGATAATTTAGTGGAACATTACAAATTTATCACAGTTTTGGGTATTGTACACCCGAAAAATATACTGCTAATAAAAAACGAGTTTTTGTAGAATTTCGTAACATGGAGAAACGTACTCCGGGAGACTTGATCCATTGTGTATGGGAGACTTGATTATACCTTTCCCAGATTTACGATATTAAAATAAAACCAAAAATTGGATGCTGAAAACTAACTTTACTCAGTCATGACTTATAACAAATAATGTTATTAAAAATATATAACACTTTCTGGCAAAAAACTATACTGAAAAATGATAAAAGAAAAAAAAAATTATTCTCGAATATTGAACATCCTTAGTGATTTGGGAAAGACAAAACATCCTATGCGCTTACTGTAGCTCCTAAAAGTCGGGCGTGGTAACTTTTTTAAAATTTGGTCACGTGGGACTTCACCCATGTCTTCTTTTCCGGCCACTTAAAGGTTTTTTTCTCCCTTTTTTGGGCAAATTTGATTTTAAAATCCTCGTTCTTTTTTTCCATTATCTGTCCTACGTATCGATGGACTAAGTTTCTTTCGGAGACAAAAGCTGACAATTACCCAATCTTGCACACTCAACTCAAACTCGTCACCTTCTGCTTCCGATTCACATTCAATATCTGTCTCTACTTGCATTTCATCATTAGGATAATTTAATCTTTAAACATATTTTCCTCTGCATTTGTAAAAATTTGAGCCTTCTTGTAATCAGGATAATAGGTTATTTCAACATTTTCAGATCGTTGTCGGCGAACGTATCTTTTTAATGTCATAACATTTATTTGATAACGACTTGCCGTTCCCTTGAGAGACGTTCCGTTATTAATAACGTCTAATACAGCTTCTTTTAACTTCTGGCTGTCGACTGGTGTTCTTTCTCTTTGCTCCTTCCCTCCTTTTGTATTGACGAGGCATATCTATAAAATAAAAAAACACTCATCTATAAGGAGTTTCTGGGAGACTTGATCCCGGGATCACATCTCTCAGATAAAATGTAATCAAGTCTCCCCCAAGACGCCATTCGAATATTTTTGTCTATAAAAATATGACAACAAACTAGAACTCATTGCAAAATGTGCAAAACGTAAACTGAATGATTATAGTGTTAAATAAAAATTATACGAAAAACTCACCTTAACGAATATTAAAGAAAATCAACTTGAAATAATTTTGAAAACACTTCTCGGTAGGGACAAAAAACTTGTAATAAACACGTGCTCTTCGTTGTGGATTCTAATACAAACTAAATTAAATGGGACCTTCAGACATACTAACAGCTACGCTTTGTTGCCGGTTTTATAATTTTAGGCTACTTATTTACTGAAATTTTAAAGAGTGATCAAGTCTCCCATATGATCAAGTCTCCCTCTTCTCCCCTAGTGTTGGTGAGTGGTATCCCCATTGTCCTGCATTTTTGTTTCCATCTTTCTAAAGCTCTTTCGAGGTACATTTTAAATAAAGTGGGAGACAGACAACAACCTTGTTATAATCCTTTTGCTGTTATAAATCCTGTTGTTATTTGTGTCCCTGCTTTTATTTTTGTTATTGTTTGGTTGTATAGCACTTTGACGGCTTTTATTAATTCTATATTAATATTAGTGCTTTCCATTGATTGCCACAGCTTCTTCAGTAAAACGCTGTCGTAGGATTTCCGTAGGTCGGCGAACAACATATGAATTTCTTGATTCCGTGCCATCTTTTTTTCTATTATCTGGGTTAAGTAGAAAATGTGGTCAATAGTGGATCGACCCGTACGAAATCCTGCTTGTTCTTCTGCTTCATAATCTAAGTATTCTCTCTCGATTCCGTTCTTTAAAACCTTTCCATATATTCGATTCATAGATCCGGTTACAGCTATTCCTCGGTAATTTTCACAATTATTTTTATCACCCTTTTTATGTATAGTACTGAGGTATGATATCTTCTATTCCGTAGGGATTTCGCTTGTGTTTATGCATTCCTGAAATAGTTGTCGAAGATATTCGTACAATTTCTTCGTTCCTGTTGTTAATCTTATTGGCGAGCCGACTATTGAAATTCTATCTTGGTTTTAATTTCTATATTCTTGCAATTCGTCTCTATTCTCTACCAAAAGTTCTACTTCTCTTTACTCTTCCCAGTCTTCAAGTTTTATGCTCTGTATTACTGCTTTATTCTTTTCTTTTCTCAATTTTTTTATCAGTTTCCAGCTTTCTGTACTTTTGATTCCTCCTAGATAACTATTTATTCGTTGGCGTTTCTTTCCCAAGACTTGTTCTTCTTCTTAGAGATTTTCCTTAGTACTTCTGCTTGTTTTTCTTTATATTTTATTTTGTCTTGTAACGATTTTGAGTTTAAATATTGTTGGTATAGTTGTCTTTTACATTTTATTTCTTCCTCTAGTTCGTTATCCCACCAGTATGGTTCGTTTACCTTGGGTTTTATGTAGTATCCCATTGCTTCAAATACTGCTTCGTGTAAATAGTTTTTTATATGTTCATATAACTGATTTGAATTGTTAAAACAAAGGTGGAACGAATTTTTTGTTTGTAAAAATCAAACTTTTTAAAATAATTAAATTCTGCAGTTTTATCATAATAATGACATTATTTGATTTGAGAATATATTTTGATTCGAAAATGATATGTTAGAGCTCGTAAAGTTATTCAATTTGTTTATAAGTCTAAAAAATGTTTAAAACTTTAAAAAATTTCTAGGCTCTCCTAGTGAACCGATTTGAATTTTACAAAAAGCGTTTGGAAGTTTGAGCCTTCCTTTATATGTAAAAAATATTGCAACTATCTGAGGGCCTTATTTAGGGCCTACTATAAATTTGAAAATTTGCGATTTTTTTCCAGTAGGCTGGATTGCACAATTATTATGCAAAACCTATCCGACCGATCTTAACAAAATTTAGCACACGTTTTAAACATATTAAAAAGTTTTTCTAGGCGGAATATGGAGCTTGTAAGTCAAGTTTAGAAAGTCAAAAACATTTAAAGGATTAACTTCATTTTTTTGTACTTTTTTTCCAATTATTGCTATTTTTTCAACAATAAACATTAAATTTTCAATTTCTAGCTAACGAAATATTGTGTAAAATTGAATTACGTAACTTTTAACTTCTATAATTTTTCTCTAGGATCAATATTTTCCGAATTATAAACGAAAATAGGAGCAAAAAAATGAGAAATTTTCAATTGTTTTCAGATTTTGTTAAATAAAAAATTTAGCACAGGGTTTGCGACTGGCGCATATCGTGATTATCGATATTGGGCATATCCTGAAGGGATTCCAGCAAAAAATAGCTCCTATGGAAAATGTCCATTATGGTCTGAATTTTTACAGATCCCGCCTAGTCTAATATCAGGATGTCTGGACCGAAAAGATGATCGATCAACAGCACGTCTTTGTTTATAAACCACAAGACCAACTGTTAAGTATTCACTAAATAGAGGTAATTGGTATAATTTACCCCCAATTTAGAGTGGAGCCTCATAGGAAAACGCAAAAGAGGCAGACCAAGAAGATCTTTCAGAGATGAGGTAGAAGAATGGAAAGAAAGGATTGGAAGACGGAGAATGGGAGGACAAAAACAATGGAGAAAATGGTTGAGAGAAGGGACAGCGACAGCTATAGGAACCCCTTTCATATATAAATAAAATATATATATAAATATATACCACGAGGACCAACTGAACATTTTCAATGTAGGTTTTTAAATGTTGATTTAAGCATAAATTAGAAGCCCTTGGTTTTCGGGGTTATTTCTTGAACTGGTTAAGGTCATACTTACAATATCGTAAATTCCTAGTAAAAGTCGATAATAAGAAGTCATCTGTTTTTAATCTTGACCGAGGTGTACCGCAAGGCTCCGTATTGGGACCCCTAATATTTCTTTTATATGTCAATGATTTGACACATTTTTTAACTGCAGACCATACAGTTCTTTATGCAGATGATTCAACAATTGTAGTTGACGAGTCAAATGAAGTCGAACTCATATCAAAAATGAACTTAGTAGCACAGGAATTTACAACCTGGTGTAAAAGGAACTCTTTAATGCAAATGCAAAGAAAACTATTTGTATGCAGTTCTACTCGCGCTTTAAGCCATCCCATGGTTATAAAATCAAGTTAGTCTGAGGAAATACCTTTTAGTGATACAACATTATTTCTTGGTAGCATTCTAGAAAGTAATATGACATGGGATGAAAATGTCACTAAAGTCTGCAAAACAATGAATAAGGGTTACTATGCGATCCTTCAGTTGAAAACTCTATTTAACACCAATCAATTGATAAGTGTGTATTATGCATTGGTTTATTCATATATGGCCTATAATGTTATCTTGTGGGGAAAACTCTAGAGACTCTTCTAGAGTTTTTATAACTCAAAAGAAAATTCTTAGATTGATATTCAATATTAATAATAGACAATCATGTCGTAAATATTTTATTGAACACAGGCTGTTGACTTTTCATGCTTTATATATTTATAAGTGTATTATTCACGTCAAAACTAAATTTCAAAATTTTACCCTCAACTCTGACTTTCATAATTACCCGACAAGACACGGGAGGTTGATAAGCGTGTGTAAACACTCCACAACTCTCTTTGAAACTAGTCCTGACTTTGCAGGATCTAAATTTTATAATTGTTTGCCACTTAATATAAGAAATGAAAACAATATTCAAAAATTCAAAAATAAATTAAAAGCATGCTTGATCCAATTATGCGTTTACAACCTAAATGAATATTTTGACTTAATAAAAGACTACAGAGAATAAGGACCGACGGGTTCAGAGACGCTCTATATTGCATATCTTTGTTTTTTATTTTTATATTAATCTATATTTTATTGATTTTGTTTTATGTAATTGTCGTATATAACTTGTTGATCATGCTTTATGTACTATATGACTTGTCCTATATCACAATGTGATCTGATGGGATTAATAAAGAATATTCTATTCTATTCTATACCACCTCTAGCCGATCCTTGATTTGACGCTTTCCCGAAAGTTACCTACCAAAGAAAAGAATTGTATTCTTAGCGTCGTTATATAATATAACTATATATATATTATATATATATATATATATATATATATATATATATATATATATATATATATATATGGTATAATTTATCCTTTGGTTCATCAATATTAGGAGATTTATCAGTGTGAACTCTACGATACAGAATATATATGCATTTGTTGAGGTCATTTATATGTAGATGAGACTTGATATCTGAGTTTTCCTACTTACACATTATATATACAATTACATTACATATTACATTTATTTTTAGTAAGTGTCAAAATTTTAAAATCACATTTTTTGTCAAAAGTCCTACAGTCTTCAATACATAGCTTCCTTTTGGTGTTACGTTTAAGAATTCTATCCGTTTTTTCGATACTTCATTGTGTCAGTTTATTTTTATATAAAATAAATTATATTTTTTAATAAAAGTTTTATTTTCAGGAAAAAATGTTTCCGTCATTATTCCCGTCAAAGGAAAAAAAGACCAATTTGTTGTAAGCCTCGAACGGGAGTTAATGCTAGTAACTTGGGATGGATTAAGTCAAAAGCCATCAAAAATGGAAAAAATACTGGAAGTAGATCCAAACACTAGAAACGTCTTTAACGACGGAAAATGTGATCCTTCAGGAAAATTGTGGATAGGTAAGATTTTCTTATATTTGAATACCATATATGTTTACAATCTTGTACGGCAATTTTAATCCACTGAGAGTATCCAATAGAGATTTCTCAGTATGTTAATATCATTTTTTTGAGTCCTTTCGCGTTAGAATTCATGAAAATGCGTTCACCAAAAACATTTATAAACATCTACACAAACATTAGCAAACATTTGCTAACACATGTTTGGCACAGTTTGTGAAAAACAAGAGCTCGAGAATTTGAGTAAGTTTGCAAACATTTGCCATCGTTCCTTCTTGTTTGTACAAAATGGCTCCAAGAAGAGAAGTTATATGTGCGACTAGTTTGATAATCATGTCTTAGTTAGTAAAAAAAACGATTATATAAAAAAAGGAAGAATAAAAAGGCGTCGAAATTTTTAAATTTATTGTAGTATAGCTTGTGACTGGCATTCCATATTTCTGGTTTCATTTTGCTCATTAAACATTCAATTTTTTTATAAGAAACAAACAAGACTCTACTAATTACTAATTACTCACTGAAAACAAACCATTTGTTTCTATTATGACAGACTATAAAATCTAGTGTCTTCACCAAACACGCACGAACAACGAATCCCTTTGAAGTACCGACAGCCGACAGAACCGTGCCAAACAATTGCAAACATTTGCAATTGTTTGGGAGCGTTCTGAAATCCTTACACCAACTAAATAAAATTGTTTGCTAACAGTTGCAATCATTTGCAAACATTTTTCGCGCTTGGGGAAAATGCACCTTGTTTAACTTTGTTAAAAGCTTTCTCATAATCTCAAATAATAGTTCTAAAGACCTAATAAACTTCCTTAAACTTTTACTGATTTTTATAAGATGTAAATGTATTAAATTTTGTGACAATTTGTAATTAACGTTGAACTGTAACTGTAATGACGTTAAACTGTAACACAAAAAAGGAAGCGGCATCTTAGCTAGAATTCCGAGTAGACTTACAGTTATATTCCATATCGCCATGTCAACTCAATCTTCTTCTTCTTCTTCAGCCTTCATTTATCCATGTTGGACATAGGCCTCCTCCAATTGCTTCCACGCTTCACTTTCTTTTGCAATTATCATCCACTGCTTTCCAGCTACAGTAGTTATATCGTCTATCCATCTCTTTTTAGGTCTTCCCACGCTTCTTTTTGTTTCTCGAGGTCTCCAGAATGTCACTTTATGAGACCATCTGTTGGTGTCTTGTCTTACTACATGTGCTACACATTGCCATCTGAATGTCGCTATTTTTCCCATGATGTCGGTTACTTTAGTTTCTGCCATTAATTGTTCTTGCCATTTTTCTTGTTATTGCCATAGTTTCCAATCCATAAGTTGCAAGTGGTAGTAATACAAGTGTCATAGGTTTTTCGTTTTAAATGAATTGGGATTTTTCTGTCTTTTAAAATGAAGCTCAACTTACCAAAAGCAGCCCACGACAATTGTGTCCTTCTTTTAATTTCTAGGGTTTGATTTTCTTTTCGTTTTTAATTGCATGTTCTAGATATATATATTGTTCTACCTTTTCTATATTGATGTTATCTATCGTGATGTTTTCTAGGCTGTTGCTTAATATCTTTGTTTTGTCGAGATTCATTTTTAATCCTATTTGATTCGATTTGTCATTTAAATCTTGTAGCATTGATTTTAGTTCATGGATATCTGTGCTTATTAGTACTATGTCGTCTGCAAAACGCAAATGGTTAAGATATACTCCATCTATTTTTAATCCCTTTTCGGCCCAATTTAGTTTTTTGAAAACATTTTCTAATGCCAAAGTAAATAACTTGAGTGAGATGGTGTCGCCTGTCTCACACCTTTGCCAAGGTCTATTTTCATAGTTTCAGATCATCATCTATTTTTAGTGAAAAGCATCTCGTATATATTCTTAAGGAGGGCAGCATATCTTGAATCTACTCTGGCGTCGTCCAATGATGTTAAGAAAGCCCATTTCTCGATACTGTCGAATGCTTTGTGATAATCGACAAATGCCAGATGTAGTGGTATGTTGTACTCTATTGTTTTTTCAATAACTGTCCGGATTGTTTGCAAGTGATCGATAGTGCTAAAACCCTTACGAAAGCCTGCTTGCTCCACTGGTTGGTATGCATCTAGTTTAGCTGTCAATCTATTTGTTATTATTCGGGTTAGTAGTTTGTAAAGGTGTGACAATAAGCTTATTGGTCGGTAGTTTTCTATATTTGCGGCGTCCCCTTTTTTATGGAGTAGAATGACTTCCGCATTTTTCCATGCCTTTCGGTATTTGTCCTTCCAATAGGCATTTATTCAGTAATGCTCTTATTGCCTCTTCTAATGCAGTGCCTCCCATTTTTAGCATCTCTGAAGTAATTTTATCTTCTCTGGTGTTTTCCCATTTTTCATTTGTTTTAGGGCGGCTCTAATTTCTGATGTTATTATTTCAGGGAAGTCCTCTGAACCCACATTTAAGATATGTTTTGTTGGTATACCGGGTTCGGAATAGTAGAAGTATACAGCTTCTCATAAAATTTTCGGATTTCTCTAACGATCTCTTCCTTATGCGAGCACAATGTTCTACGGTCGTCTTTTATCTTTATGATTTTTTTCCTGCCAGTGGATTTACATGTTTTTAGTACTTTCATGTTCTTATTGTTTTCTATGGTTTCAAGAATCTGGTTTGTTCTATAAGCTCTGAGGTCTTTTCGAATATTTTTCTTAACGCTTCTGTTGAGCGCTTTATAGTCCGGGTTATATCTGTTCGTTCTTCTTCTTTTCTCTATCTGTTCTAGAGTTTCGGGTTTTTGTTTAGCTTCCTTTTGTTTTCTTATTCTGCAACAAAGTTTCTTAGTGACTGTTTGACTGAGTGTTTGACTTAGTAACTGAGTGTCAACTCAATATGGTACTGAAATAAAATGTTTTCCTATATTTAACATGTATTCAAAAACATTATTGTGGATTTTCTCTGGTTAAACGTGATGAGTACATTGAGTATCATTTGTGCTTTAAACTTTTTTTGTATATTTAAGGTACCATGGGCGGTCCACCAGTTGTAATCGCAGATATTCCCTTGGGTATGGGCACTTTGTACAGTATTCAAAATAAAAAAGCTAGCCCACACTTTTCTAATATTGGTATAGCTAATGGTATTGCCTTTAACACAGATCTGAAAAAGATGTACTATATAGATTCTCGTACTGGTACTGTTGATCAGTACGACTGGGATATGGCTACTGGGAAAATTGGTAAGTAAAAGGGTGGTTAGTAAAAAATGGATGTATTAGTTGCTTAATCTAGAACAAGTAATAATAAATCGTTATTTAATAACTGAAGATTAATATTAATACCTAGTAAGGTATTGTGTATTCAATTAATGAATATAATAATCCATTTCTTTAGAGATGTCTTCTTTCAATCAATTTTTGTCCAATCCTGGACGTAGGTCTCATCCAAATTAATTTTTAGTAATTTTTACGGAATACTTTTTGACCATTAACTCCAATTTTAAATGAGCATTCTAGACTAAATATTGCAACGATTATGGACTAAAAATAAATTTGAAGAAAACCAAGTTCATGGTATTTACAAAAGCACAAAACATCAAAGTTAAGCTAGTACTAGATAATACAGAAATTGAACAAATATCTTCGTACAAATACCTTGGAGCATGGATCACAGAAGATACTGATCAGACAAAAGAAATAAGATGCCGCATTGAAATTGCGCGGTCAACTTTTAATAGAATGAGAAAACTTTTTTGTAATCGCGATATCAATATATCGCTCCGGATAAGAATGCTTCGATGTTATATTTTCTCTACACTTTTGTATGAAGTTGAAGCTTGGACACTTAAAAAATCCAACATTAAAAACCTAGAAGCATTCGAAATGTGGTGTTACCGACGTATTTTGAAAATATCATGGATGGATCGCAAAACAAACGAACAAGTTCTCGAACAACTAGGAAAACAATGCGAAGTTTTAAATTCCATAAAAATCAGGAAATTTGAATACTTGGGGCACATAATGAGAGGTGAAAAGTACGAACTACTAAGGAATATAATGCAGGGTAAAATCAAAGGTAGAAGAAGCGTAGGAAGACGTAAAATCTCGTGGCTACGCAATCTCCGTGAATGGTTTGGATGCAGTTCAATTGAACTATTCAGGCGAGTACCCAATAAAATTATAATTGCCAGAATGATTTCCAATCTCCGATAGGAGTGGAACTTGAAGAAGAAGATTCTAGACATCTTTTTTAGCATACTAAGTCTGTTCTAACACAAGTTATTACTTTCTCATACATATCCCCTACAATCTTTATATACTTACTCCAACTTATCCATCTACCAACCAATATTTTCCATATTTTGCTGTGTAACTTTTTTTGTGGGATGACTAAGCTTTTTTATGGCCCTCCAATTTATGCATCTATTGAACAACTCCTTTGTTTTTGTAAAAAAAGTTCTAATATACTAGTTTCTCCATTCGTCTGACGTTTCTTTCACTTCTATAATTCTAATAACAAACCTCCTAACAAACTTATTCCCCTCTCTCTTAAAGCTGTCCAGATTTCTCTAGAGATATCACCTGCTCCAACTGCTTTACATTTCTTTATTTTTTGAAGTGCTTGAAGAACTTCCTCGTTTATTATTTTGGTGACCATTGCTGTTACTGTCTCTATTGACTCAACTGTCAAGTATTTTTCCCTCGGTTTTTAAGATCCTTTTCGTGAATTATGTATTATCCATTTTTTATAAATTACCGTGAATATGTATAAAACGCAAATTAAAAAATGTATGTAATTTTCTTAGCCAATGGAAAACCCATCTTCACCGCCAAGAAAAACGATATGGATGGTATGGTCTTTGATGGCATGACTATAGATACTGACGGAAATCTCTACGTAGCTGTGTGGGGATCTAGAATAATTAAAATTGACCCCAGAAAACCGGAAACTTTGTTAGATACCATTATGATGCCCGCAAAAATAGTAAGTAATTTTTTGCGTTCTCTTTAGAACCTTGCTTCTTATAAAGAATTTATCATAGAGAATATCCTAATCCTCATCACAACTGATCAAAGCAAATGAATTCTCCTTTCAATAAACCAAATTCCAAAATTCCTAAACTTGTATCCATAGAACACGCAACTCCTTCATTATCAATCTGACTGTGTGGGTCCTAGGCTCCTTAAGAATTTCTCTACAGTTGTCCCTATGCATAGCCTTCCTCCACCAAGATGACATTCTATATGACATTAATAGAGCTTTCATTGAAAGAGAAGTTGAGTAAATAATCCTAAAATCTTTGTGATTTTAGAAAGTAAAGATATTTTCTACTATCGGAAAACGAAATCTTAAACTTAATTTTAACGTTTTCCAGATATCTTCCGTATGCTTTGGTGGGTCTAACTTAGACGAGCTTTACGTAACTAGCGGACAGGTTGGAATCAGTCCAGGTCCAGATGATGGTGCTGTTTTTAAAGTAACTGGATTGGGTACTAAAGGATATGCTGAAGTATCGATAGTATTATAAAAATAACGAGTAAAATCTAATGTAAACTTAATACTTTTTATTATTTTAAACCTTCATATTTATTATCACGCATCCCAATCATAATTTCCCGAATTGCCACACTAAAATGGAACTGGGCCGGATACGTCGCCCGAATTAGTGATGAAAGGTAGACGAAGAGATTGCTTGAGTGAAGTCCGAAGGTTAGACAAAAGAAGTAGGGAAGCCTACCGTGGACAACGATCTCAAAATTGGATAAAGTGCTCAATAGAGCACAAGACAAATGGGGAGGCCTATGTCCAGCAGTAGACGCAAAAGAGCTGGGTGATGATGATGAGTTCCAATCGTTAAACATAAAAATTGATCCTAAAATTTCAAAATTTTGCACATGACTGAAATATTTCCAAGTAAACATTACTCAGTTAAGTGAAATAAAACATCGAAAGAAAAAAAAACAAAAAATTGAAGAAAAAAATCTAAAACTTTTTAGAATAAAACTAATTTCTAATGCAACTAACTTCTAGAAATCGTTTTAGCAGATGTGATTAGGCTTATGAGTTGGGCATTGCCTAATTTTTTGGCTTTTCTAGTCTTTGCTAGCGAAACAAAAGCTGGCTTTAACCATTCACTAGGAATTTTGCCTATTTTATATGTTATATTAAAAATTTGAGCGAAACAAATTGTCCTCTTTAATAAGTTTTATAATCTCTGTGTAAATGGTTTAATCTACGTGATAATGGAGGTAAGAGAAGGTAAGAGACGGGGGCTCCTTGGTTAGTGCTCCTTGTGGATGATATGTTAGTTTAGAGAGAAAAATAACTCTTGGAGGATTGGGAGAAGAGGAGAAAGAGGAAGGAGTTAAGGTTAGCAAATCGAAAACGGAGTATATTTGGTACTGTGTGATCAAAAAATCTGGGAAGAGCTGAAAGGAAAGATGTACAAGAGTGTGGTCAGATGTGCGTTGGTGTACGGCAGTGAAACATGGTCTAAAAAGAGGGTTCAAGAAAAGAAGATGGAGGTAGATGAAATGCAAATGTTATGGTGGAAGTTGGGTAAGACTAGAAGCGACAAGATCAGGAACGACATTATTATGGAAAGAGCCGAGGTGACTACAGTCTCAAAAAGAAGTACCAACAACAATGGTTTGGTCACGTCAAGCCAGACGTAGAAATGAGAACTAGGAACGAGATGTAGAGGAAAACAGAGGAGAAAATCACAGAACTGGGTAGCAGAGGACTTGAGAGAGAAAGTTTAAATGAAGAAGACACGATGAATAGAAATGAGTAGCGAAAAGAACGAATTCAGCGACAAAATCCAAAAACCAATGTACTTAACTTTGACGATATAAACATAAAACATAACATTAAAAAAGAATTTAACAATAGAATAAAAACATCGGGGAACAACTAGAAGATCCAGAAGAACTATGGAGTGAATTTAAAAACCAAGTTAACGAAATCTCCACAAACAATGATTATAGAAAAAACTTAATCAAGAAAAATAAATGGATGACAGACGACATCTTGAAATTAATGGAACAACGTCGACTGATAAAATCTAATGTAACAGAATATAGACACCTGCAGAGAAGAATAAAAAAGGAGATCAAATTAGCCAAAGAAAAATGGATGAGAGAAAGGTGCAACGAAATGGAGGATGTAATATCTAAACACGACTTATTTAATGTGCACAAAAAATTGAAAGAAATGGGTAATATATTTAAAAAACGAGTTCCCTCAGTACTTGTTGACACTAATAACAAAATTATTGTAAATGAGCAAGAAATAAGAAAAGAATGGCAGCTGTATATATCAGAGTTGTTTGAAGATGACAGGAATAATATTGTCGAATTCTACCAAAACTGTACTGACGGCCCAGAAATTATGAAATGCGAAGTAGAACATGCTATAAATAATGCTAAAATTAGAAAAGCTTGTGGTCCAGATGATACACCAACTGAGTTGCTGAAACTAATAGAGAATGATAACATAAAAGTAGTAGTAAGACTTTTTAATTCAATATATAACACCGGAGTGATTCCTGCAGATTGGCTCAAATCCATCTTTATCGCAATACCTAAAAAACACAATGCGAGAAAATGCTCAGAATATCGATTAATTAGCCTAATGAGCAGCACACTCTTAAAATTTCTCCTCAGAATACTTCACAACAGAATTAGACGCAAATGCGAAGAAGATCTTGAAGATACCCAATTTGGTTTTAGAAATGCTATGGTAACCAGGGAGGCACTTTTGCGCTAAACATCCTATTACAAAAATGCCGTGACCAAAGAAAAGATTTATTTGCATGTTTCGTGGACTTCGAAAAGGCATTCGATAAAGTACAGCATGTAAAATTAATGCAAATACTGAAAAATATCGGAATAGATGACAAGGATATTCGTGTCATTAAAAATTTGTACTGGAATCGAAACTGCTATCGTAAAAATTGCAGATAACTACACCGATGAAATCCCCATACAACGAGGAGTCAGACAAGGTTGCATTTTGTCGCCAACATTGTTCAATGTTTACTCGGACCAGCTATTTAAAAAGGCACTTGAGAGACAACCATATGGAATAAAAATCAACGGAGAACTACTTAATGTGATTAGATATGCAGACGATACAGTAATTCTGATCAGATAATATTGAAGGTCTTCAAATTCTGCTTGATCGTATTCACGAGGTAGGAGAGGAAATGGGCATTAAAATAAACTCAAACAAAACCAAATTTTTAGTGTTTAGTCGTGACCCACATCCCGATGCAAAGCTTCAATTGAACGGAGTCCAAGTTGAGAAAGTTCACAAAATGACATATCTGGGAACTGTGATAACGGACCAACTAGATTCAGACATAGAAATAAAACGTAGAATAGCAAGTGACTAAAACTACTTTTATGAAAATGAAGTCATTTCTTTGCAATAACCATCTCAGTTTAGAACTAAGGCAAAGAATGGTTAAGTGTTATGTTTGGTCTGTACTTTTGTATAGTGCAGAAGTATGGACGCTAAAAGTATCGATCATGAACAAAATTGAAGCATTGAAAATGTGGGTTCATAGACGAATGCTGAAGATACCTTGGACAGCAAGAAAAACTAATGAAGAAGTACTAAAGGAGCGTCAACAAAGATAGAGAACTGCTAAAGACTGTTAAACATCGAAAAATGTCTTATCTGGGACGTATAGTAAGGGGAAGTCGATATAAAATTTTACAACTGATCCTTAAAGGCAAAATAGAGGGCCGTAGGAAGAGAACAAGTTTCTTGGTTAAAAAACATTCGTGAATGGACTCGTGAATCAGTCGGATAGTTCTGATATGGCACGCGGAGAAGAGTAAGAAATAGGGACCGCTGCAAAAGAAGAAAGAAAAGGAAAAAGAAGAAGAAGATGTAAATGATGTAATTTCTGAAAATTCTGAGCCGATTTCTGAGTATAACAACACTTTCAAAACGTTCAGCTCCAAATATGTAAACGTGGTTGATGCCTTTAAGACCGATGGTAAGTAAGCTGGAACTGTCAAGATTTCATTTACGATTCATTGAAAATAACAACTTTGACAGGTTATTATCACAGAATATTGTTTATTATTCTGTGTTATAATATTAATTATTAACAATTTTATTTCAGTTTTTTTGAAAACCATTTCCAGATTGGAAATCGAAAATTCAATTTTTATTAAAATTTATTGAGATTTATTTTCATAAATAAAATATTGAAAACAAATATGCCACAAAAAAGATAGTTTCAAAACTGTATCCCTGTAAATTTAAGCGTTTTTAATAAACAACAATTCTTCTTAAATATGTAAGTGTCTAAAAAGAATACGCTTGTATAATATTTGAATTTTAACAAGGAATATGTAATGCCAATGTCAACCAACTTTAACGATATACGTGCCGAGCATATTAACTCAATTTTACTTTCAGATTCTCAATGATTTATCTGTTGATTCTTTCGTTGGGATTTCATGACGCTAGTTGACAACTACAAGTAATACTGATAAATGAGAGAGGAAAAAAATAACAGAATAATAAATTTTGTTTAAAGTATCATAAATTATGATATTTTTAATAATTCAAATGGGACACCCCGCATGTTTTAAGATGTAATTCAGTCAATGAATTAAGATAATTTTAAGTAAGAATTCGTATACCATTACTCTTATTAACAGATATCTGTTTTCTACTTCTTGTGCGTTACTTGACCAGACTCATACCAATTTGGGAGAGGTTCGTAGTTCCAAATAAGTCACGATTGAAGCGCAATTTGATGAAGTGTCCACCTCTGAAACTACTGTTTATTTCCTTGTTTCTTACAGTTACCTGATAAACTTAATAAACTATTAAAATATTTAGAACCCTTAAAGGTCGTAAGACATCCCATCGAAGTGATATTAGATGCAATAAAAATACTTGCGCCCTCAGCATGCATTCTATTTCTCTTAATCACCAAATTGATTTTGATAACATCAAATCTATAGTTACAAAAAATAGTTCCTACCAAAGATCTTCCCTGGAAATGCGCCACATTCTAAGAGAACAAAACTCCATGAATAAACATACAGGTAATAAGAATCTCAGCATCATATATCAGTCCTCACATTTAAATAATGATCTTTCTGATCAATACAGACATAATTATTCGTACTTTTAGTTGAAGAATTGTGTAGTATTTTTATTAATCTAATTTATTGTCTTTATTTGTTATCAAGGGTCCTATTTATAATACTTACAAATTTATTAAAGTCTTTATTAATCCAAATCTAATACTAATACTAGTCTAATTTTGTTTTCAACAAAATTCCTTCTTTATATATAAAATACCGTTAATCGAGAATCCCTTCGAATGCGGACGGCGATCCTCTCGACAAGGACGGAAGGCACACGGGTTTTTCAGCTGAGCGGCGAACTTACAAGAATATAATAGAATTAGAAATAATATGTTTACAGTTTTATGAGTCATATTTATCGTAACAATAGATTAAATTATTTCAAATATACTAAATTATTAATCTCTAATAATTTAAATTATAGTTCTGTCGTGGCTTGT